TGATCTCATGGTTTGTGAGTTCGAGCCCCACATCAGACTCTGTGTTGACAGCCTGGAGCCTGTAGCCTGGTTTGGATGCTGTGTCTCCCTCTCTGTCAACCCTTCCCCTGCTCATGCTCTCTTGAAAATAAACAAACACTAAAAAAATTTTTTTTCTCATTTTTTCTAAAAAATAAATAGATTCTCGAAGGTTTCTAACATAAAAGTCAAAGCTGTATGAATTATTCTTCCAGTCTTCTGGGGTGTCTAGACACATGTCCTCTTCCCCAACCTTTCAACAAGTAGTGTCTAGTTACCTTATAAACCCAGTTTCCCAGTACCCAGTTCTTGACGCTAGCCTACTAATTCTCACATGGACCTTTTATTAGAAAGTATCTTATAATTTATTTAAGAGGTCTAATGGTACTCTGAATGGTTAAACAGGAAATTGGGCCAATATAAAGACTTCAGGAAGGATTTTCTTCCCCTTATTTTAATACTTTTTACTATGGTAATCTTCAGAGAACAGTAGAATATATTTCCATTTCGCAACACCTACTACCTTCAACAATTATTATATGGCTAATCAAGTTTCATATAAACTGCCCCCACTTTCCACTCTTCACCACTCTCATTAAAACAAATCCCAGATAATATATTCCACAAGGATTCCAATCAGCATAAATGTGATCCTAGACCTGGTAACCCAGGGTCTTTCAAAGTTTTTAGCAAGTTCTAAGGGTTCCATGTCTACCACAGCCAAACTATAGGGCTAAGTACAGTGATTATGCCTCAATTTTTAGTTTGTCATGGCAAACCATTACCCCAAATAAGTTTATTTAGGACAATTTAAGAGTACAGACACAAGATGGCCTAACATATATAAACTTTTTCACAGACCTTTAAAACAACCTTGAAAGCATAAAGATATTATTACATGTAGATCTAAACTCCCACACTTATTTAATTATATTCCAACACTGAAATGGTAGGCCTTGTCACAAGAAGTCAAAACAACCATATACAAACTACAGAGAAAACAACAGTTAAAATGCTTCAAGCTGTCTATACCAGAGAACATTTCATATATTTTTTTAAATGCAGTTTGGATGATGAACATGCCAAATTTAAATGCAAGAATCAGCTATTTATCATAAATACCATCCATTACTTAAAAACGTGATTAGGTGAGAAGCACATCCTTATAAATGTGCATCCAAAAGCTCCTGGGGACCACTTACAGCTCTGACTCGAAGAAGATGTGAGATGACAGACTGTAGTTCATCACTGTAGTGTTTTAGTTCAGTAAATCTCCTGAAACAGGAAACAAGGGAAACATCATTTTTTTTCTCATGGAAACAAGTCAAAAACTGAAAGACAAAAACAGCAGTTCTTGAGAATAATGAAACTGATTCTATTTAACCATATGCTGGCCTTATGCACACACCAATACAAATTCAAATTCAATACAAATTCAAATACAAATTCAAAAAATTCTAAAATAAAGCAACCATATTTTCTTTTGGTATTACTAAAGACAAGAAAAATACTTCATAATTTATACTGTGGAACTGAGATAAAGATAAAAGTTATATGAAAAGTTACTTGAAAACAAAAAACAGGACAAAAACTTATGGTGCTAAAAAATGTTCTGATGCAACCATAAACTCATGGTCTCTAACCTCAATCTTCATGCTGATCAATAATCTTTGTTTCCCTAATCTAGTAACCACAGTTCTGCAAAAAGACCTGAAATTTCTGATACCACCACCTATCACTCTCCAACCAGGCTTCACAAATTAAACACAAGCCATTAGTAGGAACCACCTCCACCTCTATCTCCTGCCAGTAAACATATCTACATCTATTATTTCTTCCTTCCCTCTAAGATCCTTCTTCCCATCAATACTCTAGACTCTATCCCAGCTACACCCCATATTCCTATTTTCTAAATTCCTCTCTCTGCAAGCTCCTTCTCATTAGCATATCAATTAACTCTCCTATATTAAAACACATACATATATTCCCTTGACAACACATCCAACTGTTAACACTCTCATCCCCAGCCATTTCACAGGCACACTTTAACAAGGTACTCTCTCTAGCAACAGTCACTTTCCATGCACCGTGCAGCCCACTGCAATCTAGTTTTGCCTCCAACACCAGCAGAGAAATACTCCTGACAAACTCACTAACTATTCTCATGTTGCTTAAAACCCAACAACAGACTTTAGTCCTCATCTTTCTTGATCCTTTCAGCAAGGTAACAGCTACCCTCACCCTCCTCCCAACTTTAGCATGCAAAGAGGCCCTAAAGTGTCAGAAACACTAAGGAGGGCCTCTCAGTAGGACAAGTGTGTGAACAAGCAAAACTGTACACAAAGGCCCTAGAGGGACTCAAGAATCTGAAGGTATAACCCAAATAATTCAAATGGTGCTAATCTTCAGATTATACTTTGGAAAACACCCTCAAGGCGTTGGCACTCCTTAGGGTCCAATCCTGGGTCCTCAGCCATCTTAATCAATCTTTCAATCTATACATTTCATGTGACTTACCATTCACAAAGCTTCACAGTTATGGCGTACGTGTTACTGAATTCCAAATGTCTACCTCCTGCCCGAATCTCTCTCCTAAACACCAGACCTTTGTACTTTTACATATCTAGAGCTTATCTTCCCCTGTCCCTCCCAAAACCCTCTTCCCTATGTTCCCTAGCATTCTAAAGAAGAAAACCTGGGTGCCACCTATATTTCCTGCCCCTCTTTTGCCCCATTCATTCTACTAATCACTAGGTCTACCTCCTAATATTGCCCAAATATTGTCTAAATATTGCCACATAAAAGTAGAAGACTCATCTCCAAAAGTAGAAGGTTCATCTCCAAACTGCTCTTAGCAGTCTAGTTTGAAGAAATATATTTTATTTTATTTCAAAATTACTTACTTATTTATTTATTTATTTTTTAGTAATCTCTACACCCAACATATGAGTAAACTTACAACCTCAATCAAGAGCCACATGCTCTTCCGACTGAGCCAGCCAGGCACCCCAGTTTGAAAAAATATAAACATGCATGAAGCTAGTATCATTTTGGTAATCCCAACAATCTTTCCAGTTTTCTACATTTTAAGAAAGGGCAGAATAAAAGTATTTTAGTGCTGTAAACTATTTTAGTAACAGTATGAATAATAATTATATATTGGGCCAGCTAGACCCACTATATAAAATACATGTAATATATAATATAGCTAGAACAGAGATTCTGTACGTGAAGAATCTGGCTTAACAACGAATGGCATGAAGGCACCTGGCTAGCTCAGTAGAAGGAGTATGTGATTCTTTGGGGTTTTTTTCTTTAATTTTATTTATTTATTCTGACAGAGAGAGTGAGAAAGGGAGAGAGAGAGAGAGAGAGAGAGAGAGAGAAGAAGATCTTAAACAGGATCTGTGTTGCCAGCCCAGAGTGCAACACAAGGCTCAAACTAATGAACCATGAGATAATGACCTGAGCTGAAACCAAGAGTCGGCTGCTCAACAGACTGAGCCATTCAAGCACCCCAGGAGTATGTGACTCTTGATCTCGTGTCATTAGTTTGAGTCCCATGTTGAGTGTAGAGATTACTTAAAAATAAATAAAACTTAAAAAAAAAAATATAGATAATTCTCTTCACTAGAACTTAAAGCAAACAAATTCTATTACTAATTATACATTAACTACACATTTTAACAAGAACAGGGGCAAAATTGCTTTGGTTATGTTACTGTTCATATCAAATTTAAAATTCCATATATAATATGGTTATTAAATAAAATTTTATAATCCAGAAACCTAGTTAGGTCAGAAAAGGGAAGATAAACATTCAATTGATAAAATATTTTTCATTAAATTGAAAAACATTCAAGACAAAATATTAATATTACATTAATTAATAATAGTCTCATCTACATGCTCCTCTAGTGAATGCACATTCACCAAAGTCATAAAGCTAGCTTACTAGGTTTTTCAAAGAGGTTGACTTAAAATTTTAGTTCTTTATCTAAAGAGCGTCTCTTATATACCATACCCGTCATTATAACCCTTACAGTGGAACCTTAAATGCATATTACTAAGTGAAAAAAGCCTATCTGAAAAGGCTATATACCATATATGACATTCTATAAAAGGCAAAACTATGGAGATTACTGGTTGCCAGGGGCTGGGATGGAGGGATAAACAGGCAGAGCACAGAGGATTTTTAGGACACTGAAAATACTTTGGAGTTGTTTTTTTTTTTTTTTTTTTTTTTTTTTTTTGGTGGGGGTGGGAGGGTCTTGGTGTTGTTTTTTGTTTAAATTTCAAGTGGGTTCCATGCCCAACACAGGGCTTGAATTCATGACCCTGAGATTAAGAGTCACGTGCTCTACCAAGTGAGCCAACCAGGCACCCCAGCCCCAGGACAGTTAAAATACCTTATATGATACTATTAATGATGGACATATGCCATTATACATTTGTCATAATATACAACACCAAGAGTGAACCCTTATGTAACATCTTCAGGTGATAACAGTGTCTTAATATAGGTTCATCGATTATAACAAATGTACCATTCTGGTGGGGGATATTAACAGTGGGGGTGACTGTGCATGTGTGGGGGCAGAGGATATATATGGGAGCTCAGTGCTGTCCATTCAATTTTTCTATAAAACTAAATAGAACTCCTCCAAAAAAGTCTATTAAGAAAAAAAAAAAAAAACTTCAGTGGTTACCATCACAATTTCCTGTTTACCAAAACTTTAAATATTTATATTTTATATTCAAAATTTATATTAAAAACCAAATACATAATTTCTAAAGTCAGGCATAATATATTATCAGACTATGCAAACCCAGCCTTTGGTAAGAATTTACACCACATAGAAATTAATGTTGAAGGCTTAACTAGAGAAATTCTAACACAACTCATGAACTTGGCAGCCAAAAATGCAAAAGCCTAATCTGCTCAAACACCTTTCTAATTGAAAAGTTCAGCTGAATCAAAGGCCAGGTAAAGGTCCATATAATGAAAAGTCTGAATTACCCACCTAATTCAGAGAATGAGTAAAACCAAAATCTTAAGAAATGCCTAGGAACCACCCTAAGGACATTTTATTGTGAATGCATGGGTTTCCTTAAATATAGAAATGGTCTCATCACAAACACCAAGTCAAGTAATTGTCATACAGATACATCTCCATGAAATTATTCCACTAGTATGCATTTATCTATCAAGTTTTCTTGGTGTACAAAGTAGTTTATTATTAAATATATATAATACATATAATCTTCTTGAACTTTGTACATATTTGATAAGCAAAGCCATATAAGGAAAACTATTTCATATGAAATTAAAAATTACGTCTCTCATTTTTCTGATATCTTCAACATTTTTAATAAATCCTTCTAGGAAAAAACAGCGGTTTAATTTTCTGATACTTCAGTTACTTGCAACCTTAAACCTAATTAAGTTACCAAATCTCAAAATCAGTTTTAGACTGTAAAAGGATTTCAGTAATGTGAATTATTATTTAAATTAGTAAATAAAGTGCATACATTCAGAAATGAAAAATTAAATAAATTGATAGACATCATTCAAAACAACATTGTAACTGTTATTAAAACAAAACCTTACTTGTCTGGGTTTTTCACTCTGAATGTTGCATTAAGCGCTTTTAACCTGGAGTCTGCCTGGAAAAAATAATTTGTTCACTTAATACAATTACATTTCAGGGTATAAATCCAAACAGTTTTACTTTCCCTTTAGAATTAAGATGCTCAAATACAGTTTTCTTCATATCATTTGTCAAACACATTAAACATATCTAAAAAAAACAGCAAAGTAGTTATGTCTGAAAACACTATAAAAACAGTGTTAAAAAGTAAACTGAATAACATGGCATTCAATGATACCAAAGTAAAACAATTATAAACATCATTATATTAACAGGTATCTATCTATCTATATATATACACACACACAGCTCTGCATTATTGTAACTCAGAATAAATCACATGGAAGAAGTAGTTTACCTTTCTCCAAATCAAGAAAAGGAATGATAAACTAAATAAAACGACTGCTCTGAAGCATATACATTACTGCAGGTAGTTCCCAGGAATCCACACCAAATGTACATTGGTTTTTTTCATTTTCATGATCACTATTTTAAAAAAGGAAGAACTGAGGCACCTGGATGGCTCAGTAGGTTAAGTGCCTGACTTTGGCTCAGGTCATGATCTCGCAGTTTGTGAATTCAAGCCCTGCACTGGGCTCCTGCTGACAGCTTGGGGCCTGGGGCCTGGAGCCTGCTTCGGATTCTGTGTCTCCCTCTCTCTCTGCCCCTCCCCTGCTCATGCTCTCTCAAAAATAAACATCAAAAAAAATGTTTTTAAACAAAAGAACTATGGAAATGCCTATACTAAATACTACATACTAAATAAAGTAAAACATGTGAGATGAAATCAAATTACTTTCTAGCTGACAGAAAATGTTACAACACAACCTTTTTTAAAAATTTTTTTAAATGTTTATTTTTGAGAGGAACAGAACATGAGTGGGAGAGGGGCAGAAAGAGCCAGAGATACAGAATCCATAGCAGGCTCCAGGCTCTGAGCTGTCAGTGCAGAGCCTGATGCAGGGCTCGAACCCACAAACTGTGAGACCATGACTTGAGCCCAAGCCGGACACTTAACTGACTGAGCCACCCAGGCACCCCAAGAAAACACAACTTTTTAACTATTTTTTTAAACTTTTTAACTATCTTTACTTACTCTAGATAATTGCTCTCAAAGGAGGAACAGAGGGATCAGCACTAAATAATAATTGCATTCTATAAAATTTATACTTAACATATCCAAGTCATAGCCAAACTTCACACACACACACACACACACAAAGAAAAGAAAAGAAAAGAAAAGAAAAGAAAAGAAAAGAAAAGGAAAGGAAAGGAAAGGAAAGGAAAGGAAAGAAAAGGAGAAAAAACACTAAATTATGTTTCTGACCAGGCACAGAAACTACATAAAAGGTGGTTCAATCAGGAATCAATTTTTTTAATGTTTCATTTATTTTTAAGAAAGAGAGAGAGAGACAGAGTGTGAGTGGGGGAGGGGCAGAGAGAGAGGGAGACACAGAATCTGAACCATGTTCCAGGCTCTGAGCTGTCAGCACAGAGCCCAACGCGAGGCATGAACCCATGAGCCGTGAGATCATGACCTGAGCCAAAGTCAAATGCTTAACCGACTGAGCCACCCAGGTGCCCCCATTTTTTTTTTTTTAAGAGAGAACGTGAGCAAGGGAGAGGGGCAGAGGTAGAGGGAGCGAATCCCAAGTAGGCTCCGCATTCAGTGCAGAGTCCAACATGGGGCTCAATCCCACAACCCTGGGATCATGACCTAGGCTGAAATCAAGAATCAGACACTCAACTGACTGAACCACCTAGGTGCCCCAGTTTCACTCCACCTTACTGTATCTCCTTTAAAACAGTACTACTTGAAATCATCTTAGTTGTTTACTTGTTTCTTAGCTGCCCACTAGAAGAGCCGTAAGAAAGCACAATGTGAATGGTGCTCCTGGAGTTATACAATGGCTGCCATGGCAATACGTTATTTAATCTGCTTTGTTCATTGCTATATCCCAGTGCCTCACAAAGCGTGGCACAAGACCATCATGCAGGAGGTATCGACTGAATAAAAAATAACCCCAACTATTCTACAGCCCCGACTATCTTCCTTCCCATGTTCTCTGTTAGTCCCACTTCTTCTCCTTTTCCAGTTCCTATTAAATATTTTACTTTCCTTATGCTGGATCTTGTCTTCCCTTTGTTATTTCATTTTCTGATTCTTCTCTTCCCCCACACCTTGCCTAGTAAGCCACTATCCAGCTTGGGCCTCTCTAATGTTCCTCTTCCCTGGCCCCCAAGTTGACTCCGCCGCAAGGTTCTTTATTCCTGTCTCAGCTCAAATGTTATCTCTTCAACCATGTGACCCAGTTTACCCAGGAAAGTCCTGGTTTATGCTTGTTGTCCTAAATTCATTATTAATAGGACCCCTTTTTACTCTCAAAAGAGTCCCATTAGAATAATAAATCTTATGGTCACCTATATCAAAAAAATCCTTGAAAACAAAAATTCTGTACCATCATACCCTTTAACAATACCCTTTAAAGTATCTTACTGATTTAAACATTAATTTAATGTCTCTACTACAATATAACCTCGATAAGAATAAGGGAGTTTATGTTTTCAGCTCATTCACTACTGTTTCCACAGCACCTAGAAGAGCACCTGACACTCTGTAGGCACCCAGCCACAGCGGCTCTCTGAGAATTTCTGTGTAATATACAGATTAGCAGAAATTTTAACGTTTATTTATTTTGAGAGAGTGAGCGAGCAAGCAGGGGAGAGGGGCAAAGGGGGAGGGAGGGTGAGAGAGAGAAACAGATAGAAAAGAGAATCTCAAGCCAGCTCCACGCTCAGCAGAGAGCCCAATGCAGGGGCTCAATCCCACAACTGTGAGATCAGGACCTAGGCCCCAACCAACTGAACCACCCAGGTGCCTCTAGCAGAAATTTTCGAAGTCTGGACTATGGGCATTGGCAGGCTCTACTCCAAGCAACAGACAGGGTCCTGGATTCTTCTGAGTTAACCTAAATTCATTTAAGATCTGGGCATATGGATGACACTTTCATGACAGTAACTTACTGAGTTAATGGAGTTAAAACAATATCACCTTATTCTAAATCAACTAGTTTATATGTTCGTTACTCTAAACTCTTTGCTCTCCTTTTACTGAATTGGTTAACATGAATATTTATATAAATATACACAAGACAAAGAACACCAACACAGAGCAGTGATGAAGAGTTAGTGCTCATGTTTGTATTAAATACAGCACTGATAAAAACGCAGTAGATTTTTATAATTATCTTGCTGGGTAAAATAATTAAATATTTTTAAGAAAATATTAATCTAATAGGCCAAAACTATACATTAAATTAAACGTGTGTGAGAAAAGGAAAACTAAAGTAAGGTGACATTTCAATCTGAGAATGACAATCCAAAGGCCAAGGTTAAAATATAAATATTTGGTCTGATTCAGAACAATCTTTTTTTCACAGAAATAGTTTCCAATACTTCCTTTACCAACCAATTTTACATAATTACAAAATTTACAACCAAACACAGAGGTAACATGGGATAAACACACACACACACACACACACACACAAACCTCACATACATGTTTGTGTATATGCATGTACGCACGTACATATATGTGTGAGGTGGTCTAAAAACATTCTATCTTACAACAAAACTTAAAATAAGAAACAGTCACAACAAAATAAGGAATACAGCAGGATGTAAGGATTTCTAAACTCTCCTCATAACATCTTATTTTCTGCTCCATTTAAAAGCCTGCTCCATTAAAAGCCTGATTTCAAATAATACTGCACATTAAGTATTACCTTTCAAAGACTTTCTAAAAGTGAAACTGGTTATACCATAAGGCAACCCAAACATGAAATATTTTAACTAAACTCTTAAATAGCACCTATACACAAGATTCAATGCACTCAGTAAACAGCATAGTCTATATAGATGGAAGAAACTCCAGAGCTTTTTCAAGGTCACCAAAGTCATGGCCAAAACCTAGGTGCAAGGACAAATGACTGCTGATTTCTAAACTAGTGACTAAATCTTGACTATTACATAAAGAGAAGTCACCAAAACAACTATGTTTTACTTTTCTCTTTTCCTTATTATCAGATGCTAACATCTTGGACTAGTTCTCAGAAAACCCTATCAAAATATAAACATTTTTCAAAGTTTTGAGTTATTTCAAATCCAACTCTAAATTAAAATTCAAGTATTCTGAGTGCCATAAAGTAATGAATTATAGCCAAGAAGATTCTAATGTTTTCATGCAACCTGCCAACAAAATGTTTATAAATTAGAATCAGCTTATGACAGAATTAGATACTTGATTATATTTTCCATGCAGAAACAAATTTTTCTCTTTCTAGTTTTTTGTGCTAAATTTCAAATACCTATGTGCCAATACATAAATCTCCAGGGGTGTTTTCAAAACTACTATAAAGACATTTTGTTCTTGTTGCCAAGACCTATTGAACTTTTGTTACTGTACTATCATATGAATTGTTTTATAAACTTATAGATTATATAAATTTACATTACATTTTTCTACTTACCTACTCAGTTTACAGAAGAGATGAAAACTTTAAAAATTTGCCAATATTACATTACTTTGGGGGACGATAGGGAGAGTAGACCGGAATTAGGGTGGCCATCTCACCATACCTTATTTTTCAATTTTTAGATAACAATTTCATTCCCAAACACTAATTATAATTACTAAATTTGAAAAGCTGTGTCACTAACGGATACCAATTCAAAATGACTCCTATGCCCAAAGATGACCACCACATCCCAGCAGACAGAAGCAGCACGACGCATGGCTCATCTTCTAGTCTGCTCTGACTGGGAAACCCAAGCTCAATTCTTCAGAACTGTCTTTCATATCTGATAAAGAATGAGTAAGTGTGTGCACAAGAATTGGAGTGGCAGTGGTACAGACAGCGGGAGTAAAAAAAAAAAAAAAAAAAAAAGATGCAAAGTGTATGAGTATACTGCAGGAAAAATCTACAGTTTGTGTCTCAATTACTGCTTCAAAATACTCCTTCCCAATAGAATGAAATTCATAAATATGCCCTCTATAATCTCACTAGTAACTAAAATTACATAAATCCAAAGTGAATTCGCAGTGTTTCTTTGAAAACCTTACCAATGATATTAGATGCAAAGCCAATTTCCAACATTCGTTCATTCAATAAATACCAAGTACGCACGAAGTGCAAGGCACTGTGCTAGGAATTGTAAAGGAACTTGTCAAATTATTTCATACAAATTTTCTTACCTTCAGTTGAAACCCAGTTTCATTCACAGTCTCCTTCCAGTTACCTTCCTAAAAATTAAAGTTAATTTTAGAAATCATTGCAAAAAAACAAAAACAAAAACGTAAGGAATACTCCAAATAAAATAGATTAAGCATCTACTATTCTGTTATTCTTTCAGGGGAGACCAGAGAAGGGTTAAAAAAAAAGAATTCATTTCTAAGTTAAATATACAATCCAGATTTCAAAAGATTACCAAAAGATGGACCCAAGATTTTATAGATCTGGGCCTCAAAAAACTAAACACTAACTTTGATATCATTTAAGTGATGCCAGAAAGTACCATCTTTAGTATCCTTAAGTATAAAAATGTTAGCCAAAAGAGTGATATAACCCAATAATTTTGAAATCAAAACAAATTTAAAAACACAATTAAATGAATGTATATTAATAAAGCTGCTCCAAAAAGATTCTTAAGCATAAGCATTCTACAGTTTAAAAGAAAAAGATAAAATGAATTTTTTTTTGAAGACTTAAAGAAAGATACCTGTGTTAAAAACAAATAGAAGATTTTGTCTCTACAAAGGATGGGATGTGAGGCAACTCTCAAAAGAAAGTTTTCTAAACCAATCCGTCGTCTTTCCACAAAATCCGGGTCCATGTTGTCAGCAGAGAGTTTATGCCAAACAAATTCTGCCTAGGTAAACGAAACAATCATGAAGCATAATCTCAATGCTAAATACTTTTGAACTGTACTGCTGTTTCATTTCTTACCCTTTTCTCTGGTAGAGGTGGCACAACAATATGTGGATAGTAAACTAAAAGGTAGTTTCTCAACAATTCAAATTCACTATACCGCCTCCATAGTGAATCTGTTAGGACGCTTTGACCATCAGTATGTTCAACTGACCTGAAAAGGAACAGAATAAGATCTCTATTACTTATTAAAAATACAAATACAGCCCAAATTTCCATCAATGGATGAATGGATAAAGAAAATGTGGTGTATATATATACAATGGAGTGTTACTCGGCAATCAAAAAAATGAAATCTTGTCATTTACAACTACGTGGATGGAACTGGAGGGTATTATGCTAAGCGAAATTAGTCAGTCAGAGAAAGACAAATATCATACGACTTCACTCAAATGAGGACATTAAGATACAAAACAGATGAACATAAGGGAAGGGAAGCAAAAATAATATAAAAACAGGGAATAAAACATAAGAGACTCTTAAATATGGAGAACAAACAGAGAACTACTGGAGGGGTTGTGGGAAGGGGGATGGGCTAAATGGGTAAAGGGCACTAAGGAATCTAGCCCCGAAATCACTGTTGCACTATATGCTAACTAACTTGGATATAAATTTAAAAAATAAATTCAAAAATATATCTATCTGGGGCGCCCGGGTGGCTCAGTC